TGTCCTCTTTTCCAATTCTTCTCTGGATAGTCATCTCTGCTTTAAGATTTCATAGTCAATTACCTTTAGAAAAATGGTGCCTTCTGATGACACGCATCAAGGTTATACGATAGACTGAACTTCCACAAGAATAAATTTAATATTTAACAGTTCATGATGTTTGCATATAAACCAGAATGTTTGGAATCACATGGCTTCCCCTTTGAATAAGAAACAGTTCGTCTCTAATCCGGACATATGTGTAGGATAACAGTCCAACAAAGATTGACCTTAAAGGGAGCTCAAACCTTTCAAAAAGCATAATTACACGTATCATTATGAATGGAAGGATTGTATCAAAAAGGTGAAGGACTTGCAGGTAATGTGCCCAAGGAGTCTAAAGACCAAACTCTACAGTCAATGCCCATAGAATAAACAACAGTACTCAAAACTTGTACCAAAGAGGAGCTTTGCAAAATCATATAATCACATTCTTATTTGGTGCCCGATGACATATAACATATGGACTTTGGTATATGATCTACTGGGTCTTCACTGGGTCATTGGGAGGTTGGTGAGGGAGGAGCGTTGGGAGTGAGGGGATTTTTGTAAAAAGAAAAATTACCATATTCCTTTGATTGTCTTTTGGTTGGTGTGGAATGAGAGAAATGCTAGAGCTTTTGAGGGGAGAGGGGGGAAGATGTCAAAGGTTAGAGATATCTGGCTACACAAATTTGGCTTAATTATTTTGGACCATGATATTTATAGGGAGAAGGATTTTGGGAATGTTACTGATATACTAATTGATTTGTAAATAACTTGTATAGAGGAAGCACCCCTTTGGTGCCATTAATTAATATTATTCTTTCTTTTTGTCACAAAAAAAAAGCATGTACCAAGGAGGTCATATCAATAGCTTTGTGGTCATTAAGGTTTCAGACAAATGTATGTTCCAAGAATGAGAACTATCCAAAGGATCCAAAAAAATGATATAAGAGCATAAAGACTCTAAGACAAGTTATATAAGCAAGCGAATCGATCAGAAAATGGAGTACCATCAATACAAGATGCTCCCAGAAAAGAAAACGAGAACCATCTCCCCGACCCCCAAATTGAGCAAGGGTCTCAAAGAGGCTAGATATGACTTTCCAAGGGCTCAAGTGAAGACACTGACTTTGGCATCCGATCCATTCTTTATAGCCCAAACTATCTCTTTATCACCATATGCCACAAAGATCTAGATTCCAAAGAAACCATCATAATCATTAAGCCAGTAAAGAAAAATTCTTATAAAAAGATACTCAATACTGAAACCCCTCTCAGGCTTGGACAAACAACATATACCATTTAACCAATGATCACTTGAAGTGGCACCCAAGCCCAATAAGAGGAAATTCTTCATCATCCTCTTCAAACTTTCCACAACATCTTTGAGAATTTTAAATAAGGAAAGTTAATAGAGGGGAATGCTAGAAAGGCAAGCTTGGATAAGGGTAACTCTACCCCAGGGGAAAAATGCCAGCTTTCTAATTTTCAATTCCTTAGAAACTCTATGAGTCACTGGAATCCCAAATAAAAAAGGGGACCATCCAAGAACTCCGACCCCCTCCCCCCCAACTAAATCACCCAACTAAACCAACCACCGGTCTAATGCTCTCCTCCTCCACCTTAATCCCCATCAAACCGCGCTTTCTAGAATTAACATCCAAACCCAAACACACTTTAAAATCCATAAAATGGTAAGATTATTATTATGATTGTGGTTGTAATAATCCTATGATTGTGATTGTTGTCAATTCCTATGATTATCTATTAGGCTCATCTTCTTTCGACTTCATTTTTCTATCTTTTGAAATCCTATCCAGTTGTGCTACATCAATTTAGCATTAAAGTTGAACCTCTTAACTTCGTTATAACCCCACAAAACACCTTCTTTGATCAACAACCCCTTCCATTGACTTGAGAACTGTCCAATCAACTCCTCCACCACGTCTCAGCATCCATCACTGCAGAAAATGCTGCACTCTCCACTAGAAGCTGCGTCCACAGCTGACTTTCTGGAAACCACCTTTTCTGATCACTTGGATAACCATCAAGACCCGATAAACGACCATATTTCCACAAGTTATTGTAGCCAGAAGCCAGCATCCATAAACATCACAGGTCAGAGCGCAACCACGTGCCAACTCGGAAGCTCTCTATTGATTGGTTCACCCAAAGTTGATTGGACCCATTTGACCATCTCAACTTAGCAGTCTCGAAACTGGTTCTTGACTGGGTCATACTTGTTCCTAATATTTTTCAATGCACTCTTTATGTTTTTGAGGGTCTTGTAGGTGGATTCACAATCCACAACTTGCTTTGGATCTGTTGAGGCAGTTTTCCCATAACTTAGAAGTTTCTATATGTTTCTAAATAGGTTATTAGGTTAATTTATATTCGGTCATTTCTGTAGTTCTCTTTCATCCAGCCATTCCCAAACCAAAAAAAAGAAAGCAAAGAAAAAAGCAACCAGCAGCCAAAATATATATATATATATTCAGTTTCTTTCCAAATTTTTGGGCTACCTATTGACTCTATTCAATTACTTGCCTATCCACATTATACTCTTAACCATAATTTCTTATATTCCTTTATTTCCATAATTGGCATAAACATTAATAGTTAAATTTTTGGGGCTTAGAGGTGCATCCCTGTTGATATTTTGTCTGCAGTAGATCTGTTATATGCGCAATCTGCATATTGGTTTTATTTTTTTTTTCTCCAACATGACTAATTATAATCCACATGAACCTTTATGCCCTGGCCAAATTTCAAGCTTACTTAGAGCAAACTTGGAAAAAAATAAAAAAATAAAAGATTATGCTGCAACAAGATTCTCTAGGAACAAGCTTTATAATCTTGAGTCTCAAGAAATAAAGATACTAACCATTCAAATCCTTAAGTCATAATTCTTTTGATGTCAATAGGATATGGACAATCAACACGCATTACCAGTCTCCAAACTGTCTTTAGATGTCAAGGAAAAAGGTGCAAATTAGTCATTGACAATGCTTACATACTTAACGTGATTTCTGTGTTTGCTGCTGCAAAGTTAGATCTTAAGATAAAACCTACAAATCGTGTCAAAGTTGTTTTGGAGGATGACATCACTTTTATAGGTGCTCATAAGTGTAAAGTTCCTATTGAGACGAGAATTTATAACGATAAAATCGAATGTGATATTTTACCTATGGAAAATACTCATTTTGTTTCCGGTTGCCCTTGATTTCATGACTTTTATATAACAATTTATGAAAAGGTGAACTTTCACCTTGGAATTTTCACCTTTCCTGTTTTATGACATCTACTGAAAAGACTTCTTGGCACTTTTACCTTTCTCGTAACCTTTCCGACAAGGAGAGTTAGGATATGTTAACCTTATTGGATCTCTTGGCACCTATCACTTTGTCCATCCCCCCTAATCAAAGATTATGGACCCTGGAGTCCTCTGGTATTTTCAATTGAAGTCCCTCTTTCAATACCTTATAAGTGTCCCTACCAAAAACTCTATTGCAAAGGTATATTGGAAGGCTTCCGCTCCTTCTCAGGTAAAGCTTTTTGCTTGGACTGCTATTCATTGTAAGATGCACTTTAATCATTTGCTCCAAGTCCGCTGCCCTTATCAAGCCCTCTCTCTGAATCTCTGTATCATGTGCTTCAGGGATGGAGAAACACATGTCCTTTGTTTCTTCATTGTGAAATTGCTTAGAAACTATGGATGGATCTTCAGATGCTACTAGGTGTCCGCCCCATGTTGAAAACTTTCCTTTCCATCTTTATTTCTGAGAGAGTCATGAGGAAAGAGGCTCTACCTTTGTGGCAAGGTGTCCTCTACACTGTCTTTGGTGCACCTGGCTCGCTCACAACTCTTCAATCTCTAACAAGAAACACACTTCTAAAGCTGATCTTTCCTAGAGAGTTACTTTTTTTGCTACCCTTTAGGCCAAAGTGCATGAGTGTATGCCTCCTGTATCTATTTCCATGACATCAGCATTTCCATTCTCCACAGAAGTTGGTATGCTTTTATTAAAATCATGTAGCCTTTCTGTTTGTTTGTCCCTCCTTGTCCATCCCTCTTTCTTTTTGGCTTTGGGTTTTCATTATATCTCTCAAAGGATGATTGATTCTCCTTTTATGTAATTTTCTCTATCTCTTTCTCAACAAATTCCTCTTTTTTATCCAAAAAAAAATTATGAAAAGATGAACTATATATTTAAATATAATGGAAATAATAGTGGTTAAACCTTTTCAAAGTACTAATAAGGAGCCAGAGTCTAAATTTGAAGTTGTCCCCCAAGTTACCATTGCCAAGGATACTGACATTGTAAGTCAAAATGGTCTTGAGAAAGAAAAGAAGGTAAGTGTTGTGTTCCTTGGAATACTAAAGAGGTTTCCCCTTATTCTAATTCGATAATCCTCTTGAAACTAAATTCGTTTACTGACCTGAACATAAGTCTAACAGCACCTAAGAGACTAAGAAAATTTATGATATGTTGTCTTTGGTTGCTCTTAGAGTTAATTCTCTAGATTCATCAGATACTGCTAGAATTAAGTTTGACTTCGTCTTTTGACCCTCCGAACCAAAATTCCACGGTCATCTGAGCTTTTAAGTTTGCCCTTGTTTCAGTGTCAGTTCAATCAACAAATCAATTCTCTCTGATGTGAAATCCGATGACTTACCTTAAATCACTTGAAAGGATGTTTAACAAAGCTTTCTAGTGATCTACTACCCAAAGGGGCATACAACACGAAGTAGATTTAGTTCCCATCGTCTAGTTGCTTAACCCCTCAAATTCTAGGTTGGACACTTAAGAGAAAAATGAGTCAAAAAAGTAGATGAGCATATAGCTAGGGAGTTTATTAAGTAGAATCTTAACCTTTATCTTATGTAGGAAAAATTATGGGTAATTTGCCTATTTGGGAATTTGGAAAAAAATTAAATATCACTGGGTTGCTAGAACAAAGCGAGCACTTTATGCTCATTTATACATGAACAAAGCACAACAACCTTTACCTTTTCTTTTGTCAAGACGTTTTGACTGAGATGGCATAGAGAAAATCCCATATGGAGTTCCATAGTGCTTTGTTTCTTTAGAGGAATTTGCCTCTCCATAAGCTTTACAGGTAACTTGTTTCTCATGCCCAAAATTTTTCTTAACATTTATATCCACATCAGTGTCCTGGTTCTTGTCTATACATTCGGGTTGGAGTTCAGAAGAGTTCTCTCTAATTTTCTTTAACAACCCTTCGGAATCTCTATCCAATGAATCTACCATTTCTTCTCTTTCTCTCTTCTTCTTCGCATGTTGATCAAATGTTCCATGTTCTTGGTTGCATTTCGCATGAAATGCAGCTTCTTTCTCACACGCACTTTGATCAAACACTTGCACAGTGAAGTTCAACTCACCATCATATCTGAAAACCAATAAGTCACCATGTTCTATAAGATGATCGCTCACAAATGCCGGCCATCCTTTGTGGAAGAATAAACCATCATTCTGCTGAATCAAGTCCACATGCCACATGTTCCTACTAGGACCAGTAAGAAAAGCTGTTCCAGATTGTCTGCTTTCCATGTGTTTGATGAATCCGGATGGAATTTTCTGCAGGCCACGGACTTAAAATATGTTACCATCCAAAAATACAATTACATCAAGGAAAATAAAAATTGATGGCAAGCAATGCCAAAAGTTCTTCAAACGAATTTCTACATTTTAGACAATACGGGACTCCACAGAAGAATGGTTTAAATGCTCCTTGTCTTTCACTGTGAGTTAGTGAAATGGCAAGCAACACCGCTTAGATAAGAGTAATGCAGTACTCTCTCTCTCTCTCTCTCACTCTCACTCCAAGATGCTCTTGTTACAACACTCAATTTTTCTTACGAAAATTCCTACTTCGAGTCTAAAGCGATAACAAGCCACTAACATTCTGCTATCCACAGCATTGAAAAATACATATACAAATTTCAAGTACTTCAATTTCTGATCATAGAAAACCAAACACCCACAAACCCTAATGTCTTTACTTCATTAGAAAAGAACCTAAACTGAAAAATGAGGCGAAAAGAAGAGCAACTGTGAGAATAGTGAATAGAACGCAATACCAGTTTCTCCGAGCTTAAATTGCAGGAGAAAACATCAAAAAAGTGAGGCTTCCTCGCATCGCACATTTCCATTTGATCTTTCTTCTCACATCAAAAACAAATACATTCAGCTTTCTATTGATATCAGACTCCCCGCTATTTCTATAACCAAACAAATGCCTGGTTTTTCCCTGGAATCGTAGATTTGATTGGGAATTACAGAAATAAAAAACAAAACTTTCGCATTTGTATCCTTTTTTAACCCAATTTTCGATTATTGTAACTAATTTTTTCAAATCAATCATTATATTACCTTACTAAATTTTTAGATATATGAACAGTAAACCATACCCCTAAAAATTGATAAAAAGCTGCTACTGCAGAACAAATTTACAAAAAAAAAAAATTGTAATAAAAATTAAACAAAAGTGAGTTTGAACAAGGAAAAAAAAAAAGCGAAATGTTTGAATTTGATTGCACCAATTAAAATATTAAAAATTAAATTAAAAAATATATTAATATTAGTAACTATTTTGGCATATTTTTAGAAAGTACCATTTTATACTATATGATTTGAGATTTGAGATTTGAGATTTGAGATTATAATTTATTTTAACAATTTTAATACTTGTGATTTCATCAATTAGTCAGATAATTTCATAATTTTTATTTAAATAAGTTAATAATACGTAGAAATTTTATTTTAGACAATTTAACTTTGAAAAATAGACATTTTATCAGTTTTTTTTTTACTGATAAATTTCTTCAAACCTTCTCTAATATGGATCTTATTTCATTTATGTTAAGTTATATTTTTTTTTTTAAAAAAAAAGAAAACTTTCAATTTATTTTCTTAATTCTAAAAGTTTAAATTAAATCTTTTGCATATTAACTTTCAATTTTTATAATTAATTTAATTTTTTACTTTGGAGGAGTTAATATTCATTTTGGAATGAATAACACTATTTACAATTCACAAAAAAGTAATTATCAAACATTAGGGTAAAAAAAAAAAGATTACTTATCCCTTAGGCTGGTAATATTATTATTATTATTGGGTCTTAATGCCTAAAAATTATTATGTGGGTCTCCCTCCTCTAATAATTTTGTGTTGTAATTGTCTCTGTCTCTGTTGTCGTTGATGGCCCACTGATAAAAGCAGAAGAAGAAGAAGAAGAAGAATACATCCCGACATTCATAAAGTATCCCACCAGCTACTTTCTTCTTAATGGCAATTTTTATTGCTGAAGATTTTTACCATTTAGAAAAAAAAAATGGTATTTCAAGTCTAATCCCATATTTCCCCACAAAGATTTGATTTTAATAATTTAAACAAAAAAGAGATTTACTCAAACTTCAAGGAAGAAAAAAAGCATCACAAAAATGGAGACAAAGGTTGAGCAAAACAAATGAAGGGATTCTAAATTTGTTGGTAAATGAGTGAGAGGTCATCAATCTGAAAGAAACTTTGCCCGTGAGATTGTAGAAAAGTCAAAACCACCACCCGCCTAATTTATAATCCAGCAATGAACCTGACAAACAATGGAGTCAGATATCCACCCTTTTCGAAATCATCCAAAACCTACCCATTTACAGACAAATTACTTTTGTTTGTTATCCGGATCTTTAAAGAAAAAAAAAAAAATCAAAATGGAAAACCTACACATCCAATGTAGTACTGTGAAAAGTCTGGCTCAACGAGTACGATCTCTACCACGAAGGCCAAGGGGGGAGCTTTCTCGTAAATGCTACTGCCTGAACAAAGAATACGGCAGTTTACAGCTACGGCTGAAAGCAATTTAGAGGCACAGAAGCTTGAACTTCGTTAGAGAGAAAAAGAAAACTACCATATAGCCAAAAGTAAAAACTCCGTCAAACCACGTCGCCATATTGAGTTATAAACATCTTCCTACGCTGATATATATTACCAAGGCAAACTCTACATATTGCTATACATGGAGTAAAAATGTATCAATAGTACATTCAATTAGAATTAAAAAATTCATCCTGCGAGGAACTACTCCTAATGTAGAGCAAAAGTAACCTAGATATGGAAAGAGCACAGCTTTGAATCCTTGCAGGTTGCCAAATCTAATTGGGTCTCACCAGTCTTCCCTTTGAAGAAGTTGCAGCAGACACCCATTTTTTGCCTTCTTCCTCAAGTGGAAGCTCCGGTTTTACATATCTGAACCTTCTGAAACTGTTGACAGATTTGCAGATTCTACAAAGGCTGGGTTAAGAAACTTGGCCAAAAAAGCCCACATCTTATAAACATCTTCAAAGTTGGTCAAGAAACCAAGTGACGCTGTAACAACTTTAACTCTGAAGGAGGCGTTTTTACCATCATGGTAACCATTAGCCATTGGCTTGCACAATGCTGTATCTTCAAGCTCAGAAAACCCACAATGCTGTTTTGGGACGTCGACAATCCTTACATGGCTAAGGATACCAATGCCAAGAGATATCCCATTTCTCTCTGCCAATTGCTGAATCACTTCTGGGTTGATCATCCTTCCTATACTGCTCTCTCTCACATTAAAGGCTATAGCTGCACCCCTTTCATATTTAATCTTAGGGCCATAGATTTGTACAAGATGCAATCCCGCACTATCATCT